GGGCGGGCGCCGCCTCCTCCTCCAGCCCGCCCGGCTCTCCACCCTCGCTCCCGCACTCAGCGCACCCTCCCCCCTGGTTATCCCTCTCTCCCTGTTTTTCCCCCTCTCTGCAGCTGCTGGGGGAGTTGAGCCTCTTCTTGCATAAACGACATTTCCTTTTTTGCTAACCCTAGGAATTCTGGGTAGTGTAGTCCTGCGCCTCATGCCAGTCCTGGGTGGGGGGTGATTCTACTGCCCTTTGACTTCTGATGTCAGGGGGGTTTCTAGTTCAGAAGACCTAGGGCACTGCCCTGGAAATCCTGTCTGCCTGGGTTGGCAGTTGGGTGGGAACTGTGGAAGCTTTGGGAGGCCCCAAGGTTTGGTGGGTGGGAGAATTTAGTTCCCCAGTGTTGGTCCTTTGCGTCTGTAGGATAGTCAGACAGTAGTTGTCCTCAAGTGTGTGAGAAGTTTTCATTCATCAGACACTATGAGTGGGAAGGCTCTTTATGTACATCTCACAGAGAAGGAAAAAAAAAATCTAGAATGGGAAGACTGAAAAGATCAAGATCGGCCTACCACCCCAACCTGGCAGGGCTCCCTGCTGAGACCCTCTGGTGGTCTCAGAGATAAGGTTCAAAAGGAGTTTATCCCCAGACTGCAGTGGGACAGCAAGAACCTAAGTAGCCTCCGGCCTTAGCTCCACCCCTACCCCGCAGTTACCTTCTAGATAAAGGAGAGTTTGTGACATCAGAAAACCTGGCAACTACACTAAAGACACGCCCCACCGCTGCCACCACAGCCTCTTAAGCCTGACTTTGAAGACTGTCCATAATAGACACAGGCTGGGTGCTTGTAGTTAGCCCCACGGCTAGAGTCTGCTGAGCAGATGACAGAGGCATTTCTGAAACTTTGGGAGGGTCTCTATGAGGAATCCATCTCACTCCTGCTCAACCACCGCAGGCAATGGCCAGTTAAGGTGACAACTGCCTGTTCCCAGCCACACTCTCAGCCTGTCCATTGCTGCTGCCCTGTGTTCCCAGCTAGTGGAGCGATGTCCTTTTCCCATCCAACTTTTAGGCACCTGGTATACCCAGTCCTGCCTGATGTAAAACCGCAGAAGCATATGGTCTCCTAAGGGCCTCGTGTAAAATTTGCAGTCTTTTCCTGGTCTATGAAACCACAGTGGTCTCCCCAGATTCCGCACTACATTCTGTTCTTCTGGGAGCCCCCACAGCCTGCAACACCTCATGCCATTAGAGAATTACTATGCTACTCCATTTATACAGGAGGACACTATTAAATTTTGGGAGACCCAACTCATTTTTCCATCACCCCAAATGCCTGGAACCTATGCGGTCCCAGTTGCCAAAGTGCTTCCATGAAAGCACAGATGTTCTCTCAAAAACAAGACACCACGTTCCAGACTGCTCCCGGTGCACGTGTGGAGCCTATATTTCCTAGGGGAAAGAGGCCACTGGCTACATTGCCCAGCTGCACCGGGAAGACCCTGGAGGTGGTTTCTTGGGGGAGGGATTCCCCTAAAACACTCTGGAAACGGCGGTACTTTTGAGCTCTACAGCACACACGTATCGCACACGTTCAGGTGTTCGAGCCTGAGCACGTGATGGAGGAAGGGCACCCCTGTGTGTCACACCCACACCAGCACCATCCAGGTTCACCTGGACTCTGGGAGATGATAATAGGAAACCAGGAGACACTGAAATCTGGATCCTGGCCCCAATCTCACCATCCTCAAGGCCCACATACTTGCCTCTGAACTAAGAAGTACTGGCCACCAGAGCAGGTCACAGGTACTTGAATGTCCACAGATAAGGATTTGTGTGGTGAAATAAAACCTCCCTTCACTTGCTCTCCCATCACATCACCCCTGTGAAGAATTTCACTTTGACCTGCAGAGGGTCGGCCCAGGGTTGGAAGTTGCCAGGCTTATAATTAAGGGGTAGCTCCTGCAGGAGCAGCAAGGATTTGCTTGGCTCACTTAAAACTTCCCTGCCCCAGCTCCTGCTCTGCTTGCATACCCTTTGGCCCTCCTGCCTCCCCCACCTCCTCACGCAGCTCTTCAACTTGCATGGCTTTCTTGGGAGGTTTGTAAGTGTTGGACACAAACCTATATCAGCTTCAGCATATGTGGAAGATCAGGATGTGGCCATGAGAGTGTAAGATGCTGCGGTCTGTGGAGCAGAGAAAAAGGACCTCAGTTAGAGATGTGTTCTACACAAGTGGACTCACACTGTCCCCATCCCCTCCCCTTTGCCATACGTAGGTCAGGGTTGCACAACCATGGTGCATTAGATGAGGGAGATCATGCAAACCCAAAGATAAACAAGTCAGAGACAAAATATAGCACACAGCCCTGAACAAGCCCCTAGAGACCCAAGACATGACCCAGTGCAGCATCTCTCTGCTAAGCAAACTAAGAGCTAGGGCTTCTGCATGCATTGTCTTCACAGCCTTGGCAATGACCCCCCAAAGGCAGGCCTTGTCAGCCCACTAAACAGATTACTCGGGTGCCTGGGATCGGGGTGAGTGAGGTGGCAATTGAACCCAGAAACTGGGTGATTGGGATGAAATGGGCTTTCTCACCAGCAGTCCCGTGATCAGTGCAGCCATGTTCAGTGGTTAGTTACACAGGTCATGACAAGGTTCACTGACTCTCGTGAACCACCTGCTTTTAGGGCTCCAGAAGATTCACCGGGAGCTCATTACTTCCAAAGGCAAGGTCCTCGTATGTCCAGAAAGACCATTTTAGAGAAAGTCCTCAAACTATGGAGGGAAATGTGAAGCCCAGGAATTCTGTTGCCCTGGGAAGCAGGGTTCTTGCCCCAACTGTTTAGAATCAGACAGAAAGCCAATGGGGAGGCTTGGAATGACCACCAAGGTCAGGTAGGTGGAGCCACAATCCCCGCAGGCTGGTCTGCATCACCTCTGGCTGAAGGGGTTAGCATCAAAAAAGCAAGGAGTCAGACCTAGGCAAAGCTGGGTCGACCTGCAAGTAGCAGACTGAACCTGGCCAGGTGAGAGAGGGCTGGTACCACAGGGAAGTTATCCAGAGACTCTCTGTGACTGAATCTCAAGTCTTCTGACCCCAGCGTAGTGATAACATCGCTGTCCACTGAGGGAGGGTGACCAGGCATAGGGCAAGGCAGAGAGGCAGTAGCAAGTGCATAAAATCCATTGAGCCAGCAACGCCTTTAATCCCAACACTTGGGAGACAGAGGCAGGTGGATCTCTGTGAGTTTGAGGCCAGCCTGATCTACAAAGTGAATTCCAGGACAGCCAGGACTGTTTCACAGAGAAACCCTGCTTTGAACAAAACAAAACAAACAAACAAACAAAACCACATTGTCTGGTCTGGTTGAGAACCTGGGAATTTATACCATCGTAGCCAAATGCTCCAGACCACATTCTCCCAGGGCACTGCTGGCTTGGGACCTCTCCACCAGCCTTTTACCACTGTTCACCGAACACCTCCTCAAGCCTCCTCAGACGGTCAAAGCACTTACATCCCTGTGGGACAGAAGAATGACGAGGGATAACTTCATTCAGGAATGATGAATGGAGGCATGAATTAGCGTAAATAATGAATAGGTATGATTTGATGCTCATAGTGGTTACAAGAATCAATCTCTATCAATCAGGAAGGCAATTGTTTTGATGGGCAGTTCGGTATTGAACTGGGAGTGGAAGGGAAAATGCCTTCGTCAATTGGGGAGTGAGCTGGTGTGTGTGGAAACATGCCCACACGTCTGTGCCTGTGTTTTAAAGTGTAATGGTTTGTATGAGTCCCTGGTAGTATGATGAGTGACGGTGTATGACAATGTGAGAACATGTGCCCATAGCAGCTGTGTGTAATGTGTGCCAGTGTTTGTTTTAGCTGTGTGTCCGAGCATGTTTGTCTGTGGAAGAGTGTCGTGTGCATGCACCCATGTGAGCTGCTGTGGGTGTAGCTGTGGGCGTGGTTGTGATGGAGGAGTGTGTATGAGAGAGTGCGAGAGTGCGTGTGTTTGCGTGGGGTGTGTCGCGTGTCAATGTGGGACTGGCTGTTGGGCGGATGCTGAGCGGCGATCACTGCTGGCTTGATGCCAAGTGCGCTCGCATCCCCGAGCCCACTGGGTCCTCAAGGCTGGCGCTTTCTTGTAGCTGCCGCCTTTCCCCGGACCCCGGAATCGGGTCTCCGGCGCCCTTCTGTCCCCGCCCTGCGTGTACGGAGCGACGGCCTGGGGACCCACTTTGGCCCCAGCTCGGGAGCGGGGTGTCCGCTGTGCGGAGCCTCTAGGGGAAGACAGAGGGGGGCGACAGCAGGTTGGGCGCGGGCTCGGATCCGGTGCGGCACTGAGAGTTCTCCAAGGTGCTAAAATAAACCCAACGCGAAGGATCAGGTTTCCCGACCAAAATAACCCAGCAGCAGCCTTAGAAATGCGAAACGGGAAAATGATCCCGGGCGCGCGCCAGCGCTGGAGGCGGTGATGAAAGCTGTTTCCCGCGGTGTCGGGGGTGGGGGCCTTGCTGGCCGGAGCGGTCACCTCTCCAGGCCCTTGCCCACCATCCCTTTCTCTTCTAGGATCATTGCGTCTTAGAGCAGCCGTCTGTTGGCCTTTGGTCTGTGATGGCCAGGTCTGCAATTTCTTAGAGCCAGGCTCTGAGCTCAGTCTTTCGGTGGTCAATGTTTCCTGGGTGCCTAGTGTGTGCTAGAGCCTGTCTAGCGCATGTCAACAGGCAAACACTGCAGCACCTAGGGGTTATCATTTTGCTAAGAGAGCAGTACGGAGTAAATCCACAGGGTGTTAGGAACTAACATAGATTTTAATAAACAACAACATAACATAACAAACAAACAAAAAAACCTAAAGGCTGTCTGTCAGAGACAGGGAGAGGTTTGAATACCAGGGCACCCTAATGTGTGACTCATTTAATGGCCTGGGTAGCGTTCCTTTGCTTCTGAACTTCGATTTTCTCCTTGACCTGACTGAGTCAGAGTGTATGTTTGTGCAGACTCGGATGTCTGAGGCAGGTGACATAGGGACCAGCAAATTTACTCATACATGCAAGTGTCCAGTACATGCTTATGGTAAGCATGGTTTCACCCTAAACATCCAGGACAGCAAACTGTACCGGCTGCCAGAAACTCCTGCTCCTGAGAGATTGTAGTATGGTAAATGGTTAGAGATGGTGTTGTGAACCCTCAAAACGGAAAAATCCCATAGCACAAGGAAATGCCTTAAGCAGGAAGGTAAACAACTCAAAACAGCTTCAGGAAGTCCCTGAAACTGACCACGTTCACTGGGCCCCTCCCTCCCAGAGTGAGCAAAAAAGCAGCAAAAAAAAAAAAAATAAAAAAAAATCGGAGATCAGACCAGCTGCCTGGAAGAAGAAATCCGCTGAGCTGTCTGGAAGAGGTTCAGACCAGAGTCACTTGGAAAGAACACTCTCCAACCTACTGAGAGCCTCCAGGCTGTGCAGTGTGCTCCAGGTTCCCAGCTTTGTGAGCTGACTTTCATGCTGGGGTGGGTCTTGGGGATGCAGCTGTCTTTGAGTCACTTCTGTCCCTGTAAGTTACCCCTCATCCATATTCCTGGAAGCAACCTCAATAAAACTGAGTTCACTAAGTTGGACTTTGGTTGTTTCTGTATGTTGATCTGTTGTGGGCTCCCTGTCTAGGGTGATAGATGTGTGTGTATTGTGTCTCCCAAGGAAAAGCTTTGTTAAATACATAACAACCGAGGCCTGGGTCCGACACACTTAGCTTCAACCATCCACAGTCCGTAGTGCATGCAGCATGGCTTGGGACATGCCAGGGAGGCAGTGACTCGGGGGAGCCAGGTCGTCTGTGGCACATTCCCCTTTGTACTCCCTGTGGAGCCTTGCACACAGTAGGACTCAGGAAGTGAATTGTGAGTCCTATTGTGAGTCAGGAAGGGGAATTGTGTGTCCCCTACAGGCAGGGGACAGAGATGCTATAGGGTACATGTGGCCAGAAACACATCTCTGTCACCAAGAGTGCGTGAGACCAGCAGCTTAAGTCTCAGCTCTGGCACTGGTACCTGTGGCCTCGAGATGATGTCACCACTCAGAACGCTTTGTCCTTTAAAGTGGAAAAAGGGTGGCTGTCCTTGTGCTTCCTGGGTCCAGACGGAGTTTGTTAGCCCAACAAACCCTACAGGAATGCCACCCCAGCATCTTGCTTGGCTTGTGCTTGTTTACATCCTGTTCCTGAACGTTGTAGGGATTTGTGTGTGAGTATGTTCACCCCACAGTAGTTCCTGAACGCAGGGACGTGTGTGCAAGTATGCTCACCCCACAGTAGTTTTGAAGACAGTAGCTACAAAACAAAAGCAGGAATGATGGAGGGGCTCTTACATAGGTGATGGCCTCTACGTGACAAAACGTCAGTAATTAAGAAATAATTGGAGGCTGGAGAGATGGCTCAGAGGTTAAGAGCTCTAACTGCTCTTCCAGAGGACCTGGGTTCAATTCCCAGCACCCACATGGCCACTCACGACTGTCTGTAACTCTTGTTCCAGGGGATCTTACACCCTCTCCTGGCCTCTGCAGGCACCAGGCACACATGTGGTGCACAGGCATGCACGCAGGCAAAACATCCATACATATAAAAAAAGAAAAAGGACGAGATTGATGGTCCTGGAAACATGGCCAAATTTATTTTATTAAGTGAAAAAGATAAGTCATATTCTAAAATGTAATCATATTTTAAATGTGTATTTATATATGCAAATAGATACAATATACATGGATAGCATTTGCTTTTTACTTTGTTTATTAAAACAGAAATGTTGCAATAATTGGAAATGAAACAAGTATTCCTTCTAAGATTACCTCCTATGTTAATGTATTAGTTTTCAAGTGATAGAATTATAACTGTCATCTGTAATAATAATTAAGTTTGTTGTAGCAAAAAGTAACATTTTGCCAGGCAGTAGTGGCACACTCCTTTAACCCTAGTACTCCAGAGGCAGAAGAAGGTGAATCTCTCTGAGTCTGAGGCCAGCCTGGCCTACAGAGAGAATTCTAGGACTGCCAGGACGACACAGAGAAACCCTGTCTCGAAAAATCAAATCAAATGAACTTCTGGTGGCAAAAAGAATATTTATTGGTGATATTTTACTGTCTTTTAAGTAGTTCATCATTTCAAGGATGTGTGCCCCGGCTCCTCAGCTAATCTGCAGGAAGAGTTCAATGAAAGCATTGTATGAATAACTGAAGGAATGCCAAGACTGTTGAAAAATTGGACTGTGTCCTGCAGTGGGTGCTGGTGGAGGTTTATGAATTGAGACATGGTACTTGCTTCTCAGCCGTCTGTGAAAATAACCAGCGCTCTCCCAGCAGACGAGTCATGGGTCCTGGTCACATGGGAAGACAGCATCGCCTGTGCTGAGTGAGGTTTTTACAGGGTTCTGATGGGTAGGATGGTTTGCCTGTGGCCACCCAGCTGATGGTGGCTAAGCCAGGGATTGAACCTGGGACTGTTGCTCTCCATGGTCTGTCTTAACCACTGACAGGCTAAACTGGACCCCGTGTCCTCCACAGAACTTACTGGCCACTCCAGCCAGAAGAAAATGCTGACACAACCTTAGGCATTAATAGTCCTGGCTGTCTGGGCTCCTCAGCCCCTGATGAAGCCAGCCCAGGTCATGGCCCCACCCTGGAGGGTACGGTGACTTTCCTGGCAGAGAATTGATCAAACACTTCCAGTCCCTGTGAACGGAAGAATCCGAGTCGAAAGTTCCCATCTTGGGGACTGCTTAGGAGTCTGGGTCTTGCTTCTTTTCAGTTCTAGACTGGATGCCTTCACCTCTCTGAGCCTCAACTTCCATATCTGTACAGTGGGGTCATCATGACTGCTTCTTGGTTGAATGGTGTCAGTCAGTTGAAGTATACTTCCCAGTGTCCACACATTTAGTCACCCACCTTCAGGACATAGGGTCCCCCTGTGCAATGCACATTATATAGGTACATTTTCATATTGTTCCAACTCCCTGAGGCTGACTTTGGAAGTAGGGTCTCCCCACCCCGTTTCAAACCTAAGTATGTTTGTTCCAAAGTTTCCTCCAAGACTCTTCGTCTGGGGATGGGTGGCCCTCAGACCCTGTGACAAGAAAGGAAGAGAACAGCAAAACAATATAGAAACACGATGCCGGGTAGGCTTCCACACACCACTAATCCCTTGCACTTGGAGGCAGAGGCAAATGGATTTCTTTTTTTTGTTGTTTTTTTTTTGTTTTGTTTTTTAAACATTTATTTATTATGTATACAATATTCTGTCTGTGTGTACGTCTGCAGGCCAGAAGAGAGCACCAGACCTCATTACAGATGGTTGTGAGCCACCATGTGGTTGCTGGGATTTGAACTCAGGACCTTTGGAAGAGCAGGCAATGCTCTTAACCACTGAGCCATCTCTCCAGCCCCCGCAAATGGATTTCTTGAGTTCAAGACCAGCATGGTCTGCATAGTGAGACTCTGTCTCGGATGGAAAATAAAAGCAGGTTTTTGAGCACAGCTGAAAGGTGAGCGGTTACCAACAGATGCTACTACTGTTTACCCAGAGATGTAAACGTGCCTGCAGTGGGAAAGACATCACCCGTGGAGAGAGAACTCAGCGGGAACGCCAGCTGCCTCAGGTTCCCCGGGCGGTTTCTGCTAGATGTTGTCAGTACCCACTTTGATGATCTCATTTCTGTTTGTATTTGTTCTCTTACTTGGAAGCCTTGCCCAAGGGGTCCCTCTTCTCTGTCCAGAACCTACTCTGTCAGGAACAACAACTGATTGCCTCAAAGGTGTTTTTCCACTCAATTTCTGCTGGGTGCTTTAAGTATCCAATATGATGATGTGTTGTCATTTATCTGCCTGCCTGCCTGCCTGCCTGTCCATCCATCCATCTATCCATCTATCCTTCCTTCCATCCATCCTTCCATCCATCTTTCCATCTATCTATCTATCTATCTATCTATCTATCTATCTATCTATCTATCTACTATCTACCTACCTACCTATAATCTATCTACTATCTATCTATCAATCTATCATCTACCTACCTACCCATCTTCTGTCTGTCTATCTATCTATCTATCTATCTATCTATCTACCTACCTACCTCTAATCTATCTATCTACTATCTATCAATCTATCATCTACCTACCTACCCCATCTTCTATCTATCTATCTGTCTATCTATCTATCTATCTATCTATCTATCTATCTATCTACCTACCTACCTCTAATCTATCTATCTACTATCTATCTATCAATCTATCATCTACCTACCTACCCATCTTCTATCTATCTATCTACTATCTATCTATCCATCCATCCATCTAGCCATCCTTCCATCCATCCATCTATCCACCCACCCACCCTTCTATCCTCCCTTTCATCCATCCATCATCCATCCATCTATCTATCTGTCCATCCATCCATCTATCCATCCATCCATACTTCTTTCCACCCATCCTTCCATCCATCCATCTAGCCATCCTTCCATCCATCATCCATTCATCCATCCATCCTTTCTTCCTTCTATCAATCCTTCCATCCATCCTTCTATCCATCCATCCTTCCATCCATCCATCCATCCATCCATCCATCTTCCTATCTATTTCAGTCACTTTCCTATTGCTGTGATAAAGTGCCATGACCAAGGCGACTTACAGAAGAGTCTATTTGGGCTTATGGTTCCAGAGGGTGGAGCAAAGGCGTGTTGGCAGCAGCAGCAGCAGCTGAGGGCGAACATCTTGAACTACAGCACACAAAAAAAAGAAAGTGAACTCAAAACGGCACGAGTCTTTAAACACATCCAATAAGGCCACTTAAGCCTCCTTAACAGTGTCTGATGTTTCAAGATCACCAAGTATTCAGATGTCTGAGGCTATGAGGGACACCTCCTTCAAACCACTATCCTTCTTTCTCTGTTATTTGCTATTCTTTTTCCTTGACTTGCTTTATACTTAATAGACTCACTTATTCAAAACCAAAAGTATGTCTGTTATTGTTCATTTTCCAGACCAGACAGAACAACTTGCCTGGAGTCCAAGGTGAGGGAGCTCATGCCTTGTTGCCACACCCGGGAGGACACGTGTGGTGGCTCTCTCACCCCCATGCTTGGTTTGAAATGAACATTCTAGAAGAGGAGGAATAGATACCTAGTCTAGACCAGCTGTATGTGACTGGATTTTGCAAGGAGCCCCACACTAAGGCTGGATACTTGCCTCACCCCAGCCAAGGATGGAACAGAGTCAGGCCGTGAGCTGGGTCCTTCTGAAGGAAGAGGAGACTTGGCTCCATGTCACATGGAAACATCTTCTATTTGAGTATCTTCCCCAATCCTACAAGGTGAGCACAATGACACCTGTTACAGGTAGAAGCAACAAGGCTCAGAGAAGTGACGGGCTGAGCAAGACCTTGCCGTTGGTGTGAGATGGACCCCTGTTTCTGCCTCTAGAGCCTGGGCTGGTCTGCTGAAACGAGAGCCAACAGGACCTGAGTTGGTTTGTTGTCCTTGAGAGCTTCTGTGGTAGCTCTGGGCCTTCATGCATAGGCTCTGTTTTGGGCTGAACTTGGCAGAAGACAAACTATCATCCTAATGTGATGAGGCCCAAATGGTTATTTCTCACTGTTTAGCCAACCACACTGAGCATCTCCCATCAGCAGCTTAGGGCCAGGCAGCCTCAGAGGGCTGCAGGCATCAGAGTTTTAGCCGCTACCCGGGGAGCTGCAGGAGGCCTCCCTCAAGCCCCATATGCTCATCAGGGCCTCTCTGGCTGCCCTCTGGGATGCACCCCCTTCTTCTCTCCTTTCCCATGTACCAGCAACTGATGCTTCATCCTTCCTACGGGATAGTCTCTCCCCCTCAGTTTCTCACGTGTGTGCTCCCTTCATCTGCCAGCCCCTCCAGGCCTGGGTCCTGCAGCGCCTTCCTACAGTTGAGGTCACTTATGTCTCATCTGATTAATCTGTAGGGAACCTTGATCTTCCTGATCATTGGGGAAAGGCCAGCTTCACTCTGTAGTGTGCCCAACCCTAGCACAGAGCCTGGAACTCAATGGCTATGTATGGGTACTTAAGCCCCTTGTATAGTTCCAAGTACTAGAGGCAACCTCTAAGAGGCAGATCTTTTCCCAATTAATTATCCATCTCCCTAATGGAAAGCCAGTCTCACAAACAGCCATTTGACTGCACCGTGATTCTTTTTTTTTAAATTTCTTTATTTATTTTGTATACAATGTTCTGCCTGTATGTATGCCTACAGGACAGAAGAAGGGACCAGATCTCATTATGGATGGTTGTTAGCCACCATGTGGTTGCTGGGAATTGAACTCAGGACCTCTGGGAAAGCAGCCAGTGCTCTTAACCTCTGAACTATCTCTCCAGCCCTGCACCGTTTTCTTTACAGCAAACTCAACCCCATATTTTAAAAAAAGGAAGAGGAGGAGAAGAAAGGAAGGGAGGGAGGGAAGGAAGGAAGGAAGGAAAGAAAGGTGAGAGAGAGAAAAGAGAGAGAGAGAGAGAGAGAGAGAGAGAGAGAAAGAAAGAAAGAAAGAAAGAAAGAAAGAAAGAAAGAAAGAAAGAAAGAAAGAAAGAAAGAAAGAAAAGATAATCAGCCCTGAAAATTGAATGTTCTTATTACGAGGGTAGTTGGCATAGGGCACTTGTGAGATCAAGAACCCCCTCCAGCCTCCCTGGGACTACGTTTCCACTGCCCAGCCAGGGGAATAGAAGGGCCTGGCTACTAGGGGGTCTGGACTGATCAAGGGTACAACTGGAAAAAGCAGGTTAATTTGGGTCCATCTCTGCGGGGAGGCCGCTGCTGAAGTCAATAAATGGACTACATTTCCCAGAGTCCTTCAGAGCCCGAGGACCAGCCATTGGCAGATTTAAATAGCCCAGGCCCCGAGGCAGCCAGGCCTCAGCTGTGGACTCATCCGCCCCTCGGGTGGCTCTATTGGCTCTGGCCCCGCAGGGGTGGGCTCCATTGGCTGCCCAGCTGGCACTGACGTCCCCTAGGAGCCGGGTGGCAGTCGGAGGTAAATAGCCATGTGCTACCCTCCTCTCTATATTTAACAGCTGCTACAGAGAAGGTGGCGGCTCTTGTCTTCTGGGAGAAGGCCCTTGGAACTGGGCTGGGACTGGCCTTCTCAGAGTGAGTGAGGTCACCATGCCAGCTTCCCAGAGCCGGGCCCGTGCCAGGGACCGCAACAATGTCCTCAACCGGGCTGAGTTCCTGTCCCTGAACCAGCCCCCCAAGGGGACCCAGGAGCCCAGAAGCTCAGGTAGGAAGGCCTCAGGGCCCTCGACACAGCCCCCACCCTCCAGCGATGGGGCCCGAGAGCGTCGCCAGTCGCAGCAGCTGCCGGAGGAGGACTGCATGCAGCTGAACCCCTCATTCAAGGGCATCGCCTTCAACTCCCTCCTGGCCATTGACATCTGCATGTCCAAGAGACTGGGGGTGTGTGCCGGCCGGGCTGCATCCTGGGCCAGTGCCCGCTCCATGGTCAAGCTCATTGGCATCACAGGCCATGGCATCCCTTGGATCGGGGGCACCATTCTCTGCCTGGTGAGAAGCAGCACCCTGGCAGGCCAGGAGGTGCTCATGAACCTGCTACTAGGTGAGTGTGCCTGCTGGCCACTTGTCACCTGGCCTCGCCAGGCCTTTGGGGAGGATGCAGCCCCACCCCTTCCAGGATCAGCAGGTTCCCTGAGAAACTAAGGAACTCATCTAATGAGGTTAGGCAGGAAGGGTGCCCCAGAAACAGATAAGCCTCTAGTGTGGTGAGGCAAGGGCCCCCTGTAAACTGGGGGGCCTTGAGCATACAGAGTCCAGCATGCAACCCTGGGGGCCAGTTCCCTGCACCCTGCTGCTGCCCAGGCAGAGTACAAAGAAGCCGGAACTATGGGGTGAGATTGAGGGCTCTGCTGAGTGACCTAGAGGGATGCCACTGTCAAGTCGTTGTTCTGACCACTTACAGACAGTACTGAGCTGCCCTCCCCCATCGTCCCCTCCTCCACGCTCAGTTCAGAGACCCTACAAATTGCCCAGGATTTTTCTACAGCGTCTGAAGGTTTGAGGGACCCACCTAAGGTCCCCTACTTATGCACTCTGATCCTCTTGGAGTACTAGCTTGCTCCTTCTCACGGATGTCTCTGGAGGAGGGAGTCTGATGGTCAGTTTCCTTTGCCAACATCTTGGCCTCTAACCCTTCAGGTTAGTACGGCCATGTGCCAGTTGCCTTGTGGTGGCCATGTGGAAAGCAAACCATCCCTTCTACCTGGAGGTGATACCCAGCCCCCACCCAGCTCATCTTCCTGGCGCCTCTGGGTCCCTAGGGTGCTCTGCGAGTCTTTGCTCCCACCCTCTGCGTCAGGCCCAGGCAAAGGTGCTCCTCTGATTCTAGAAGGAGTTTCAGTGAAAACCCAGGTGCCCTAGAAATGGACAAGCCTCTAGTGTGGTAGAGCAAGGTTCCCCAGCAAACTAGATGGGGTGGGAGCAGCTTTGAACATGAAGGAGCCAGCATACACTTCTGGGGCCACTGCCCCTACATGGAGTGTGGTCTCCAGCATCTTAGCCTAGTGGAAGAAAAACATGACAGATAACAAGGTGGGCGGCAGGGACTGAACCGGTAGAGTGCTTGCCTAGCATGCACAAAGCCATGGGTCCCATGCTCAGGACACATCAAACCCGCCATGGTGGCATGTTCCCAAATCCTAGCACTCAGGATGAAGAGGCAAGGTCACATGTTCAAAGCCATTCTTGGCTACATAGTTTGAGGCTAACCTAAGCTACATGAGACTGTCTCAAAACACCGACAACAATCTGGGCATGGTAGCGCATGCTTTTAATCCCAAAACTTGGGAGGCAGAGGCGGGTGAAGCTGAGTTCAAGGCCAGCCTGGTCTACAAAGCAAGTTCCAGGCTAACCAAGGGGAAAAAGAAAAAAAAAAAAAACAACAAAATAGCCAGGTGGTTCTTGGCCCCCACAGTTCAGAGCTCACCTGCCAGGAGGGACCCCAGTTACCTCCTCCATTCAGGGACAGCCATCCTCCACTGAGGAGCAGGCCTGTCACTTAGCCTTGTGATGCCCTGGGGTGCTGTCACCCCTGAAGCCCAGGCCTCGGTCAGGCTGGACTCTATTTGCCTCCCCTCCCCTTACTGTGGTAACAGTGTTGATGAAGTTGGTTCTCACCTCTAAGTCTCAGTTTCCCGATCCATGCCCTGGGCAACAGGTCTGGGGTGGGGATTTGAAGGGGGCTGGGGAAGCACAATGTCTGATGTCACCATTACTAGAACTGCAGGGCCTGGAGGCATCTGTCCAGCTCAGCCCTCACTCAGAGCACAGGGCATGTGATCAGTGCCCAGGAAATCTCTGAGCAAAGGGTGAGGTCTCATGCCTATAGCCAGGACCCCGAGGGCAGATTGGATGTGGTAGAAAACAGGAGCAGGGCCTCAGAAGGTCCCACATGTTGATGGTCCTCCCAGCCTCTGGCCCTAGTCCAGAAGACCTAACCGGAGCAGCTGAAGACTGTGGCCTTCACCTCTTGGAGCCTCAGTTCCCTCATCTGTCAAATGGGTTGTTAGGGCATTTGAAGGCAGTATCAGCATAAGGGCTTAGCATGTGCTAAGGCTAGGGGGCACTTAGGTGAGCATTGTCATCGTCACTAGGTCAGCCTCCCACAAGGTCCCTTCTGTGGCCTGGATGTTAGTGCAGTGACCCCCATCACCTTCACTGTCTCTCCCCTAAGCACCAGGCTGGATGGGCCTACAGGGAGCCAGGTGATGGTCCCAGGTGGAAAGTGGCTTGTGTCTTCTTACCGGTCCAAATCCTTTTCTTAAATGATTTATTTATTTATTTTTAGTTTTCAAGACAGCGTTTCTGTGTGCAGCCTTGACTGTCTTAGAACTAGCTCTGTAGACCCAGCTGGCCTCGAACTCACAGAGATCCGCCTGCCTCTGCCTCTGGAGTGCTGGGATTAAAGGTGTGCGCCACCGCCGCCAGCTGATTTTATTTATTTTTACTTCATGTGCATTGGTGATTTGCCTGCCTGTATGTCTGTGTGAGTGGGCTGGAGAGACGGCTCTTCCAGAGGTCCTGAGTTCAATTCCCAGCAGTCACATGGTGGCTCACAACCATCTGTAATGAGATCTGGTGCCCTCTTGAGGAAGAGACCTGGTCAGTCGTCCTCACCAACTTAGACCATGAAACCTAGTATGGACAAGTTCAACAGAACCGTCATTTACAGGCTGTCCATGCGTGCTTCAGCATTGCCAGGGCATAAATTTCATTTTTCAATTTCATGTCTGTGTGAGGGAGTCAGATCCCCTGGAGCTAGAGTTAGAGACAGTTGTGAGCTCCCACATGGGTGCTGGGAATTGAACCCAGGTCCTCTGTTCTTAACTGCTGAGCCATCTCTCCAACCGAGTCCTTTAGTGACTTCCCTATGAACGTGGCATGGTGTGTACAGGCTGTCTTAGTCAGGGTTCTATTGCTGTAGAGACTATGACCACAGCAACTCTTAGAAGAAGAGATTTAATTGGGGTTTGCTTACAGTTTCAGACATCTAGTCCATTGTCCTCATGGTAGGACATAGCAGCACA